AATAGGAGATTACAAGAGTCCTAATCTGAGGGAGTCTCCTTGTTGAATAGGGAGACTTCCAGTTCTATCTTGCTAAGGATAAGATAAGCTAATCCTAATCTGATAACTTACTAACAAGATAAGATAAGAGCAATARAATAAGATAAGAACAAGCAAGATAAGCTAATCTAATCTGGATGAGACTGCTGCTGCTGAACTGGGTAGACTGAGAATCACTGAATCATTACTGCTGTTGGCGGTGGGTCAGGTTCTTGCTGCTGCCGGCGGCGATGGTATGTCTTCYCGAGGAATGCGTCCATAACAGGCATCCTCTCCTTTGAGGTCTTCTACTCCTGATCCTCCCCCTCCTCTTACTAGACCTCTAGTTGTTTCCACTCATCCTATTCTCTAGAGGTGGTACCGGCGGCAAAGGCTAAGGCAAACACAGGTTGATCCCACACCTCCAGTTGCGTCTCAGGCGCTCCTTGTTACTGGAGAGAGGACATGCCCATCACCTGTCCACCAGCACCCTCGTTTCCAAAACTTGACCTACCCATTGCTTTAACAAAAGGTAAGAGGAAATGTACAACTTATTGTATTTCCAAACACCTTTCCTACAGCTTGTTGTCCCCATCCTACCATGCCTTTCTAACCACACCAGATTGGAGGGATGCTATGAGTACTGAAATAGAAGCCCTTCATAAAAACAATACCTAGGATATTGTTGACTTGCCAGCTGGAAGGAACTTGTTGGGTGCAAGTGAGTTTTCACTATCAAGTATTGTGCAAATGGGTCAATTGAGAGGTATAAGGCTTGGCTTGTTGCCAAAGGATATACCCTGGTATATGGGATAAATTACATTTAGACCTTTTCTCCAGTTGCTAAGATGACTTCGATGAGAGTTCTTTTATCCTTAGCAATGAGCTATGAGTGGTCTTTGTATCAATTTGATGTTAAGAATGCATTCCTAAATGGTGATCTCGTTGAAGAGGTATATATGTCTCTTCCTCCTGGTATATATGGCAAGGAAATGCAGGGTAAGGGGTGTAGATTGAAGAAATCACTTTATGGCCTGAAACAATCCCCACGTGCTTGGTTTGACAAGTTTAGGGCTGCTCCTGTTTAGTTTGGCTACACTCAGACTTAATTAGATCATACCCTCTTTGTTAAGAGAAAAGGCACTCTGGTGACAATGTGACATTCCTTATAGTTTATGTAGATGATATTGTGGTTACTGGCAGTAATACAGAAGAAGTCAGTGCTCTCAAGCAGTTTCTTAGTTCTGAATTTGAAATTAAAGATTTAGGGGAGTTTTGGTATTTTCTGAGCATTGAGGTTGCTAGGTCCAAGGAAGGTATCTTTATTTCTCAATGGGAGTATGTGCTAGACCTTCTTACTGAGATTGGAAAACTTGGTGCTAAACCTACCTTTACCTTATTGATGTGAATCATAAACTCTCAGCTAATGATGGAGAACTTTTAGCTAACAAGGGAGTGGTTTCAAAGGTTACTGGAGAAACTTCTATATCTATGTATGACTCATCCAAACATTTCATTTGCTTTGAGTGTCATCAGCCAGTTCATGTATGCTCCTAGAGACACACATATGGCTGCTACAAAAAGGGTGTTATGCTACCTTAAGGGAACCTGGGAAGGGTATATTATTTGCTAAACATGGACACATGAAGGTAGAAGCATATACAGATGTTGATTGAGCAGAAAATGTGGACAACAGGAGATCCACATCAGGATATTGTGTTGTGGTAGCTAGAAATATTGTTTCCTGGAGAAGCAAAAAGCAGTCGGTGGTTACTATATCTTCAGCTGAGGTAGAGTATAGAGCTATGGCCCATGGTGTTTTTGAGTTGTTATGGCTTAGATCTCTCCTTAATGAGATGGGTGTTTCATGTGGCAAGCCACTAATGTTGTATTGTGATAACTAAGCTGCTATTAACATTGCTCACAACCCAGTTCAGCATGATAGAACTTAGCACATTGAGATAGACAAACACTTTATTCGGGAGAGAGTGGCTTCAGGAGAGGTGTGCCTACCCTTCATTGCATCAGAAGAGTAGCTAGCAGATTTTCTAACTAAGGGAGTCCCAAAGGCAAAGCTTCAACATTATGTAAGAAAGCTGGGCATGATTGACATTTATGCTCAGTTTGAGGGGGAGTGTAGTGAGAATGGGCCAAATGGGCCTTAATGTTCTTTATTTATTTTAAGTAGTGTTTAAAAGTTATGTTTCTTAGTTATGGGCCTTCTTTTATTTTCTTTAATTATTTCTTCCACAACCTATTGCTGAAACTTCTTTCATCTTCTTTCTCTTCCTCTCTCTCTCTTTTTTTTTTTTTGATCAATAACACCAGCTTCATTAATTTAAAAGAAAACAGGGATTATGGATACAAGAGGGGAGATAAAATATCTTAGCTCCCCAATAACAGAATACAAAGAGAAAAAATTAAAAACTAGCCCAAAAGACAGACTCCCTATTCTCCCCTTGCTTGGCCAACCCATCCACAAATGAATTGGCACTCCTCTTCACCCAGCTATATCGTATCTCAATGTCCTTACACAGCCATAAGAATTGTTTCTTTTCATTGTTAAAGTTCCACAATCCATTGTCCTCTTTCTTCAACCAGCTAACCACCACCTTCGAATCACCTTCCAGGATCAAACGGCTGATATTTATATCCTTTGCTTTTCGAATTCCTTCAAGTGCTGCAAGGATCTCAGCCCTAAGAGAGTCACCTTCTCCAATAGGGCCAGAGAATAAAGCAATAACAACTCCTTCCTCATTCCTGAAAACTCCTCCAATCCCAGAGGGCCCTGTATTCTCTTCCTCTCTTTCCTTCCTTTCTTGCATTATCTGAATTACTGTAGGTGTAATTTTCAAATATTGAAAAGGCCTCAATTTTCTTTGAGTTGGTATACCTTTAAAAATAAAAGATAAATGGCCTATGAAAAATTCCTTCATTAGATTAATGAAATTTAGTAAGTTGTTTCCTTCAGGTTGTTTGCAATCAGTATATGGAATCCATACACTTAGAGTTGAGCACATAACCCATGGAAAAGCTGCCCCTGTGGATCAACTACAGGTTCAAGGAGTATCTAACCCAGGACTTCTGAGGAAGGTAACTCAAAACTCCACTGATTACCTGTCTCTTCGTATTTCAACAATTCTGTATGTGCAACATCCTTTCTAGTTGTTTTTATTAGCAATGAAAATAGATGGCTACATTTGATGGTTTGGAGATTAATTCATATCCTTTAATTTTATTATGGGGATCTCTGCATGTCATGCAGATCATTATCACTGAAGCTGCAAAGATTATACAAGAAGTTAGTATAAGCTTGAAGACTAGTCACATTGGTGAAGGGGCAAGTACACCAGTTCGTATGGCATCTTTGTCTGAGACACAACCAGTTGGTAGATCACCATCTAAAAGTTGGAAGGTAATGATTTATGACTCCTAAAATTTAATAGTGCTTTTCCCTTCTGCAAAACTTGTTCCAAACAAACTGTCACCAACTGTCTAATTATTTTTCTCTGAAGCTTGTCTGAGACTTAGATACTATTTTAGTTCAATGAACGACTGGCACTTCAGAATGATAAACGAGGAATGTTTTCTGTACTACCATGCTTTTGTGTGGATGATATGGGTCAGTACTGTACATTCTTATCAGGCTGGGATTCTCCAATCATCAGGCTCTTGTAATATGATTACTTAGGCCAAAGATCAAGCTGTTATGAAATTTCTAGTTCTTTGACAACTTGTATCAATTTATTAATTTGGGTGATAACTAGCATGACTATAATTGAGTAAATATCTCTATAGATGCTTATGATAATCTAATAAAGCTCATATTTTCCATCAAATGTTTATTAGCGTGGGTACATTGGCCATGTGGTCCAGAGTGATGGCATAGTGCTCAATATATAGCAGGCCTATTAGATGAGCCTGCTGCCTTCATTGAAGCTGTCTTGCATTCTGTTCTTTGTGATGGCTACAGTCTTTGTAGTACTTCAATGCTCTTGACTTGTGTTTGTCTGTACCCTCTGGGGGATGTTTATGTTTTTTGATTTTGTTCTTGTTGATCAACAATAACATTGCAGATCATGTTCAGTTTTGTAACTTTTGAGTTGCTTATCTCAGGGATTCACAAGTCAGGATTTTTTGGGGCCCTAGGTTGTTGCTTTCATTGTTTAATATTTTGTTTTCTGTTTAGATTATCTCTTTGGGAAATTAGCAATAACCAAGGCTTTATCTGTTTAGGCCAGAACATAAAAATAAATTTGAAATATCTTTTTCCCTTATATTTTGCAAATGTATGAGGGAGGAAAATCTCATCTTTGATATGTTATTCTAATATTTTAAGGACTGGATGGGTTGGAGACAAAATCATGCACACTGGGCAGGGAAACCAATCAGGAGTGGGGCGAACGTGGGACTCACCTTATTCATACAGAACACCAGCATGTTCACTCATGATAGGTTGCCCAGTCCGCAGTGCATGATTTTGTCTCCAGCCAATCAGGAATTTGACACAACCAAGAAGAAAGACAAGCTAACAAATTCTTGTAGCACAACTGCATCAACAGAAAGGAAGATCAAGTAAACAAAAGAATATGGGAAAGGATAGTTTGAATAAAAGGCTCCCTCTCCAAATAAGACCTTCATGGAAACCTATTTCCGTTGCAGAAACAACCATCTGGATGAAGGCCTAATCCCAAAAAGGGCTATTATCCAATGATGGTCCTTGTCATCCGGGGACTTGGGAGGGATAGACTGGATACAGACCTAACCTTTGTTATTTATCATCATCATCAAACTGCATATTCAAAGCCTTTAAATGCCATGCTTCTACAGTTACCGTTGTCCAGAATTCTATATTATAATTTGCAAGGTGGCTGCCATGATGTAGAATTGTAGATATAGGTCTTTGACTCCTTGTGGTCGGAGGTGCTAGGAAATGTCCAGAATTCTCCCATTTTGACGTATTCTGACTTGATAAACATTTGAACAAGGAAAGGGCATCAGAAAGTGGAAATTCTTTCTTCTCTGGGATTCAGTATAAATATAAAAGTATAATATTAGCAATGTTTTATATTCTACATTGTAGGCAAAATTCTTCCATTCTATTGTTGATGGATTTGTTATCATCATGCCTTTATGCTATTAAATAACTGCTTTATGTTTATATATGCAGGTGACAGGTTCACTACAGCGTGCCTTACAGGAGACTAGAACTGCAGTGCCTAGTGATTTGTTGCTACATAGACTTGAAGAAGTTAAGCAATCAGTTAAGGTGTGGATCTCCACTTTTTTTCCAATTTTAAGATTTCAAGATATCTATAGCTTATTATCCAATTTAAACCTTAATTGTCTTTTCATTTCATAGGTTCCATTTCTCTTCTATTGTTGACTTTTATTTTTTCTTTTTAAACTGCTTTAACCTATCCCTTCTTCAACAGAGAATTGAATCAATTATTGAGAAGTCACAAGTTTTGCCCGAAGGCAACTGAACTAACATGCTCTCTCGTCCACCTTACCAATACTCCCTGTAAAGTTCTCAGAGTTTTGTTTGCCAACAAAAGATAAAATGCATTGCATAATTGGTCTGTAACTATTGTTTTTTTTTTTTTTTTTGGTTCTAAATAACTATTGGATTTTGGAAGAGGTTATGTATATGATATCTTCTCCGGTTTGCATGCTTTAACACTTATATTCAAGGTGACCGTCGGTGCAGATTTTCAGTATTCTCTGCTAACCCATTGTCCAGCTGTGATTCCAGTATTAGATCATGAATAATCTGTCATTTACTGATGAAAATTGTAGTGTAAAATTATTAAAAAAATCAGTTATGGAAATATAAAATAATGCAGTCTTTAATAGGGGCAACTGATGATTGATGACTTTTAGAGCCTTTTGTTTGCTATCTTTTTTAATTTTTATTATAATACAAGATTGGGAAATGACTTCTCGTTTTCAGTTTGAAAAACCTTATTTTCTAAACCCGGTTGGGGCCCAAGTTAGAGAGAGAGAGAGAGAGGTGTGCTGGCAGATTGGAGAAAACCTCCTTACTTTAGGCACAGCATGTATTTGAAGTGGTATTTGGCAGATTGGTATTCCCTGGGACCTTCGATTTGAAGGCATTGTCTCTTCTCCTGTTTCGCCAGAGTCCATTTGTCTGGTTTGGAATTTTGGATCGGCTTATGCAACCAGATCACACATATTCCTCATTCAGAGATTGTGCCCTTGTGGGCCCTCGAGCCTGACCAGAATCCAGAATGATTACCTAGAGGCTTTAGATAAGTTAATCTAGGCTGATTATGATTATTACCTAGAGGCCATTAATTTTTGAGAAATCTAGAATGTATGTTACTGTAGAAGCGTTCATTTTGGCCCTACCCATCAGAAAAACGAGTTTATTTCAAAGCTCCCAGGGATGGGCATGTAATCAGGATTGTATGAGACCTGAATATTCTTTTTTTTGGCTGTTGTTCAAGTCTGGTTACCGTCCATTAAGCTATGTTGGTTTGAAGGTAAAGGTAAGGGAACCTATTACCTTTCCCTTCAAACCAAACATAACCTAAGATGCTTGGGAAGACATTTTCATCCTTCATGAAGGAACAAAATTCAATTCCTTTAGGCTCAGTTTGGAAGGAGTACATACAGATACAAATTTGACCTTGTATTTTGTATGTATTTGCATTATACATATTTGTATTTGTACTCTTTACAAACTGAGCCTTAGTGATGATTTGGTAACTTTTGGTAACTCCATTAAAAATGGCTTAATATTTTTTTTATCAGCAACAGAAAAAAATCTTTTATTAATTCTGAAAGAAAATTTACAATAAGAGTAGCCTCGGCTACCCCAAACTCTTAGGACGATAGCAGAACCATATTCTTACAGTTACTGCTGAGTCCAAAAACAATTCCCTCTATTGACCCCTTGCTTGACAAAATAATCAGCTAAACTGTTTGCTGATCTAGGAACCCACTGCACATTCACCTGCATGTCTTTTGAGAATCTTTTAAACTTCTTCACCCAGCTTCTGATTACCTTTGAATCTCCTTCAATCAACAACTTCCTGATCCCTTTCCCATGCCTATTGGACACCAAAACAGCAGGTTTTAGTTCTGCACCCGTCGAGTCCCCTTGCCCTATAGGCCCATAAAACAAAAACACCATTTTCCTCGACTTTCTTATCTCCCCTCCCATTCCCGCAGCACCCATATTGCCAAAACAGCTCCTGTCAAAATTCAATTTGAAAAAATCATCCATTGGTGGTTTCCAGATTACCATTTGTTTCTTAGCTGAGGGTGATGCAGCAATTGTGCCCCATTGTCTAAAAATATCATCAAATGTGAAGTCTAGAAACAATTTAGTTGTCTTCACCCAATGTGTCACCATTATACTTTCAATCGGAGTCTGTTTACTTTTTTTTTCTCCTCAAATATTCTCTTATTTATTTCTTCCCACAATGTCCAGATCACTGCAGTTCTTGTGTGCTTTCAAAGTAATCTTTCCCTTTTCCTTGAGGCCAGCTGAAAGTCGAGGGATCAAGCAATTTATCCCAGCTGAATGGAGTGTTCCACCTGCAATCAAATAAGGAGAAACCAAACCCAAATATAACAAGCAAAAGGACAGGAAATGAATAAGTGATGAGCAGATTATCATTTGATTCACACAGGACACACCAGTTTGAAGATAGGCACCAACTAGGTCTCCTTCTCTGTATCTATATTAAAAATGGCTTAACATTCATATATGATAAAACTTTTAGGAGCAAAATAATCACGAAACTCCCTACTTAAAGAAGTTGTTAAAGGCCAACTTAAATTTCTTGTCCTCAGCCAATGCTGAGCCTTGAGAAAGGTGCCCAAGAACATAAGCATAGATATTAAATTTAGTGCTATGCTAATTATAGAAAAAGATTTAGTGCTAAGTTACAACATTGAGAGGATTATCCAAGTCTTCATTTTCATCAGGTTTGAGGAGAATCCACTGGAGCACCTAATTTCTCAGTGAAGAATAGCTAATTTTTCAATGAAGACCGCTTGAAATTGCAGTGCTCGACTTAAGCAAATCATATTTGGCATTTTTCCTAATAGGAGACTAGGAGAGCCTCCAGAGAGTTCTTGGAGTCCGAGTCTGAGACTCTTCAGTGCCCATGGCTGGGTACAGATGAACTTCAATGGAGTTTTCAATGACAAAGACTTTGCGAAGTCTTCCTACAGTCGATAGACATTACTACTCTTTGGTTAAAACTTCAAAAGCTCTGAAATTTTCCTCTTTGATTGTTCAAAAGATCATCAGTGGTTGACATCGGCTGAAAAGACTGAAACTGTCTCGGTAACGATCCTGAGAGCTGAGATGATCTAATAAAACATGGGCAGCCAGCAACCCAACCAAAATGGACCACCGGGTGCTTTGAATTTGAAACAAACAGAGATGCGTTCATGTTGGTATTTTATTGGACGGTGCAGGAAGCAGGATAGTCCTGAGAAGGTGGTTGCTTAGTTCCTAGAAAAATTGTGGAGGGTCACGGTCACCTTGCCTGAGGCATCCATAGCGAGTGATTAAAAACCTACCAAGGATAGGGATCCCAAGATCCCAGTTCCTCTTCTCGTCAATCCCCCTCCCTCATTCCAACCATGAAAGGTACTGAATGTGGAGACACTTCTAGAAGACTAGAGTTTAATAAGAAAGAAAGTACAAGCCACCAATGATTTAAATATCGATATGTCCGATACCCTCAAGTGGGCATTGGTGTGTATTAATATGGCCAAGGTTTAAAAAACTGGACCGGACATGGAATCGTTCTGGTGACTGGTTATCGGGTTGAACAGTCTGACCATTCGGTTCAAAAGGATAGCCCATTCTGACTTTAAAAATAAATAAAATAAAAACAGCCAAAAACATTGTTCGACTCAATGAGTCAACAATTCAACCCCCCGAATCAATAAGTCACTGACCAAATCAATGATTTTTGGAAAAAAAATGGTTTTAGGGTGAAATGAAACCAGTTACCTGACCAATTCCTAGGTCAACCGATCCAGTCTGGTTTTCAAAACCAAGGATATAGCCCATAAGTTACCTTTTTATTCATTTTATAGATATTAGAGGGTCTTATTGATATTTTAAACGGAAAAATAACACCAATGCTTGCCCGTGAATTGGCATCAATTCCGAGCTGGCACCCACCCCAACTGTACTTTGGACCTAAAAATTCTAACCCTGGACTGAACCGTCATTCCCTATTTTAAAAGGTCTACTTTGTATTAATATATCCAAATATTTATTAATGTGGAGCGAATACTTAGATCAAGCACTTGAACTCTAGCTCTTGTGCTACATAGTTGTTCATAAACTAGTGAATGACCCCATACTAAGTACGGGGAAGGTAATGTCATACATACATACATATATGTATATATATACACATATATGTACACAAATATATATATATATATATATATATATATATATATATAATATATGTATGTATACATATATATTTAATAATATTGAATTTTTAATTAAGTTATATGAATATCATAATAAATAATGTTAATTAATATAATTTTGATAAATTTTGTCAATAAATATTACTGTTAATTGCTGTTAATTATTAGAACATTTTTGAAACACTGGAAATAAAAATTACAAACGCGTGTCCTTATATACTGTTAATAAATACCAATAATAAATACTATTTAATCATTTAAAGAATGTATTACACATGAGATGTATGGAGTGTTGGATTTTACTTTTGCTATAATTATTTAATCATTTTCCTTTTACCAAATTTTTAATTTTTAAACATTTTATTAATTGCTCAATTATTTCCTTATTGAATTAGTCAATATTAATTTCTTGATCAATTTTTATTTGAATAAATTAAATTATTCAATTTTTTTTCTTGTTAATTTAATTCTTAATTAGTAAATTACTTAATCATTTTATTATTTAACTATCCATTCTATAGTGAATAATCAATTATATTTGTTTAATCATATTATAGTATTTTTCTCAATTTATTAATTATTTAATAATGTTTTGCATTTCTCTTATCAATTTGTTACTTATGTAAATGAATTAATTAATTTAGTTAAATTAATTGAATTAAGGTAATTATTGATTCACAGAGAAAGCAACGTGTGCTTACTTTTTTGTTTTCCTAAAAGTAAGCAACATGTGCTTTCCCATTAATGAATTGAATTATTATTTCCTTAAAATGTGGGTAGTTGAATTTGAATTCTATTTCCTATAAAAATGGGAAAGTGGGAAGTTGAATTGAAATTCTATTTTCTATATATATTAGTAGAAATTAATTAAAACGTATAATTTCAGCAAAAAAAAATTTAGTAATTAAATTTTCTTATTAACAATTTTTTAATAATAACCAGTATTATTAATATATTAATAATTATAAAATCAGTAATAATAATAATATTATTATATTAGTAGTAGTCGTAGTAAGTAATAATATATTCTTATTATGTGTATATTGATTTTTAAATCAGTAATATTAAAACTATTGATATTAGTTATTTCAGAAAATAATTTTAAGTAACTAAAACTTCCTACTTACAATTTTTCAATGACAATTAGTATTAGTAATATAATAATAATATTTTAATAATTATAAAATCAGTAGTAATAATAATACTACAATCATAATTATAATGGTAATAATAATGACATTATTATTATTATTTATTATTATTATTATTATTATTAATATGATTATGATTATGATTATTATTATTATTATTATTATTATTATTATTATTATTATTATTATTATTATCATTAAGTATATTCTTATTATGTATGTACTAAATTTGTGTATAGTAAGTAATTATTTTTTTTACAATTAAATTTTTAATTAATTAATGAATAATTGATTTTATAATTAATTTAGTTTAATAATATTGAATAATTGAAAGTTTTATAATTTAACATTCACTAAATCATATAATTACTGGATAATAATTATATTATTAATTATAATTATTGATAATTAATTAAACTTGATTTGGTTGAAAACGAAACAAATTCATTTGATTTTTTGATAGATTTTTATTTAATTGAAGAGATTTTCCATATTTTATCTAGCGCTTGACCCCGTTATGGGGTAGTCACATGTAAGTATCATTTTGGTTTTTACATTTTTTGTTTATTACAGTAATATTATTTTATTTGGGTTTCACTATTTATTTAATAATTATATTTATATTTGAATTATTAATTAATAATAATATTATTAAGCAATAATAATAATAGTAATATTATTATTTAGTAATTAATTTGTTACAATTAATGTTTTTAGTTAATTAATGAAATAATAATTGCATTTATAATTAATTTATTTTAACAGTATTGAATAATTGAAAGTTTTATAATTTGAATTTGACTAAATCAAATAAATATTGGATAGTAATAATATTATTTATTATAATTACTGATAATAATTATCAGTAATTAATTAGCAGTAAGTAATTATCAGTAATATATTAATAATATATTATTAATTATAAAACTAGTAATAATAATTTTATTATTACAAACATAATAATAATAATATTAATAATATTAATAATAATGATAGTATTATTATTTTTAAGTAATAAGAATAGTATTATTATTATTATTATTATTATTATTACTATTATTATTATTCTTATTATGTATGCACTTAATAATATTTTAATAATTATTAACTGAGAAAAATAATATTAATAATTAATATTACTGACATAATTATCATTTAATAATTATTCATTAATATGAATATTAAATAATTATTATTAATTAATATGGATGTTAAATAATTATTATTAACATCACTATTAATTATCAGCATTTAATTAAATCGGGTTTGGTTTAAAACTAAACTAATTAATGTTAATTATGATTAACATTTAATAATCCGGGTTTCGTTTAAACCCAAATGACTTTAATTAATGGTAATAATTATTAATGCCATTATTAATTAAAGTGGGTTTGGTTTAAAAACAAACTGAATTAATTAATGTTAATTATGATTAACATCTTTATTAAGTATCAATAATTAACTATATGTTCCTAATTAAACTGGGTTTGGTTTAAAACCGAACCGATTTAATATTTTATGATAAAAACAGTAAATCCGCAAATATGAATTGGTCGAACCTGACCCGACCCGAACCAAAAACTGCCACCTTCTTCTTTACCCGACATTAATATGCGCATGTGATCACAACCAAAAGATGACCATTGGCGGCTTCATAAACACAAAGTATGAGCCTCTCGGTCACCAGCGACCAAAGGTATATGATTGCCGGTGGTCGGTGAACTCATCAGATATTAATGAAGAACAGGTGGTTGCTTGTATTAAAAAAAAACACATCCCCTGTTTGGCTGAAAGTCGACCACCGATGGCTTCATAAACACAACCTTTTGAGCCTCCCAGTCACCGGCGGCCAAACGTAAACGATTGTCGGTGGCCGGTTATCTCATTAGATATTAATGAAGATCCGGTGGTCGCCTGTATTTAAAAAAAACACACACACACACACACATCCCCTATTTGGCTGAAAGTCGACCACCAACGGCTTCATAAGCACCACCGTATGAGCCTCCCAGTCACCGGCGGCCAAACGTAAATGATCGACGGTGGCCGGTGATCTCATAAGATATTAATGACGAGCCTGTTGTCGCCTGTTTAAAATAAAAAAAAAATCCCTGTATGGCTGAAACTCGATCACCGGCGGCTTTATCTACATGGAATGTATGACAGTCCCGACCACCGGCAGCCACACATAAATGATCGCCGGTGGTCGCCGATGGTTTCTAACCTTTAAATAGCAACTGTTGAACATACTAACGCCAAACTGTTGAACAGAAATTAAACTGAGCTAACCGATTGAACGTTAAATAACAGGTAAAACATTAATAAAAGACGCAACATAATAATACATTAACCGATTGAAAGATTGCTAAACCGAACACCTTCAAGTTGCAGACTTCTCTGTTGTTGCAGTTTCAGAAACCGGAGACCTTAAGTTAGAGATTTCTCTCTTGTTGCAGTTTCAGAAACCGGAGATCTTAAAGCTACAGAATTCTCTCTTGTTGCAGTTTCAGAAACCTGACACCTTGAGAGTTTGTTGAACCGATTGAAGGAGACGAAAACTCTTTTGTTGCAGTTTCACAAACTGAACATTCAATGAATGAAGCACACGATTGAATGGATTTTCAAGTCAGACGTCTCTAATAGTTTGGTTATCTCTTAATTTTATTGCAGTTATTCTAAGTTTAGTTATCTTTTTACTCTCTTGCAGATTGCATATTGCCATATGCTGCATTTTTTTAAAGAAAAGATTGAGAATGGAAGCTTCCCATTTCTCAGTTTGGAGACTTACAATGTCGCACACTTGTAAATGCAGCTTGTTAAAAGAACAAGTGTCTGAATGGAAGAGAACCACATATTTGATTTGACTGGGAGAGACTTTGCCCTGATTTCATTACTTTATATATATATATGTGGAGCGAATTACATACATCCATGTCTCCAGAGCGACCAACAGGAAAGGACAGGCAAACTTTCTGTGTTCATTCCTCTGTAAAATGGACATAATTTTTCAGACTGAAATATTTTAGCTATTATTTCTGCCCATTTTACATTGAAAAATGAAAACTTGGTTCCCACCCCACCCCTTACAACCTGTTTTGATGTAAATGGTGACAAAGAACATATTCATCATAAAAGGGGCAAAAACTAACTTAAATATTTCAGCGTAAAAATAATTTCCCATTAAAATAAACAGAGCCTATAGCTACTTCCAGCAGTTACTGGTTACACGTTCATTTCCTCGCATACAGCCAGTATGCATCTCAAGTTGCACATACCAGAGTTATAACTTTAAGCTATAATTCTTAATCTTCGGGGCATGTTTATCAGTTTATCTGGATTCCATCCAAAGGGCAAAGGGCGCATTATAGTCAATAGCGAGTACATGAGAAGAATCCACTCAGGAAAGTTGACTAGGCATTTCATTGATTCCAAATCATCCGCATCCCATTTGCGAGTTTCAAATAAATGATCCAGGACATGGTATATCCAAATATACCATGCTGTCTTTATTTCATAAACATATGGAGCTTGCTTATAAGGGGAATATCCAACTACACTAACAAGAGAGGACAACTAGTTGTACCAAGTTTGTCCATGCTAGCAATATTTAACTACACTAACAAGAGATTACACTTGCAGAGATGGAATACAAGTGTAACCACTTGCATGTGTTGCTTGTAAAAGGATGGGAACTACTCTTTTTCACCAGCGCTGCCACTGCTGACTTCCTTGGGCTGGTGCTCCTCCACATGTTCTACCTTTGTGCCCTCTGATGGCCCATCTCCTGCAGGCTTTGCAACACCTTGCTCGGTAGCTTCAGATGAATCAGCAGCAGAGGCATCAGTGACTGCAACAGTCTTCTTAATGGTTCCGACCTTAACATATTTGCTCATAAACTTGTATTCCCAATCTTGCAAGGCCTCTATTTCAAAAGGACCAAGACCTGAGATATCACCTGTCAAATCCTTCTCTTCAAAGGACATCTTTGCAAGAGCCCTACTTGCATCTTTCCCAGTGAACAATGCATATGGCCCACCGGGTCCATAAAACATCCTGCAGGAAATTTGAGAAACATGTAAATTAATCATCACAGGTTGTAGATCATCATGGGAAGCCAGAAACAAATCTTTCTTTGTTTTCCATTCCTTGGTTGGGTAGTATACTAGCTTTCATGTTATTAATCATTACAGGTCCTATTTTTTTTTTATTGTTGGTGAATTCCATTTTTTCAATCTTATGCTTTTTGGACTAGCTTCACTAAGAAAAAATGGCATTGAATCCTCAACTGGAAGTAACTCCAGATTTAAAAACCATTCAAGGGAATGAAGCATAAAGAAAACAAACAGCTAGCAGTACAGCAATAACCAACACAAGAAAATGAAAACGAGAAGAGATCACGTAAAATTATTAAGGCAAATCTGACTATCTGAGTCATTCCTGTTGGAGTTGGAGTGAGTAAATAGACAATGACAATGCAATTGGGTTACAAGCTCACTTCTGAACTGCAGATCAATCTATCCAGACAGGCAGGCATCCATGCACGCATATATTAAATGAAGCAAATAATAGACCTTCTAGAAAGCCAATTTCGTTCCAAGATTAAGGATAAAAACCGCTGAACAGATGATCTTTGCAGATATTGAACTAGAATTCTGTCAACACCTACGAGTCAATATGACATTTAATCACTGTGGCAATGTAACTGTATCAGAGCGGAATACCAAAATCTAACAATCAATTAATTCCATCTGTTATCATAGAAGAATTAAGGGTTCATTTGGTTTGCAGTTGGAATCAGAATCTAAACCAGAATCAGAATGGTCTATTGCCACAGTCTGTTTGGCTCAGACAAGAATAAGAATTGGAATCAGCTGGAATGATATTTCATTCCGAAGGGAGGGGAGGGAATGGGCCATTCCCTCAAATAAGGGAATGCCATCCCATCTGGGATTCCAATTCCACGGAACCAAACAGTTGGACCATACTGATTCTGAATCCAGACTCCTATTCCCGCAAACCAAACGGGCCCTAAATAACACAAACCCCGTGAAAAGGAAGGTAGGATTGCACCTATGTTCAATCTTCTAGATATCTAAGTTGAAGCAAACCATGCATAGAATCTTCTGAACCGAAGATAAGGACTAAAGAAATAACCCTAATTTCATGACGGTGAAAGCTAATCTAACTAGGCGATTTCTTTAGTTATTAAGTGAGAGAAAAATGATACAGATCAGACCATGAAAATACTTGAAGAACACTTGATCGCATCATTCCACAGTCCAGATAAAAAGGAAGTAAAAAGGAGAAAAAACAGAAGAGCAAGCTGCTTGACTAGTCAAATTTCAAATTCCCGAAGACAAAAGAGTGTATCGAATCTGCTGCAGATCTCATATACTAGAACAAGGCAAAAACTCATTACAATAAAAGAAAACGGTATGGCCAAACAACTGGATTCCGGATAGAAGAAAGGCAGATATCAAAATCCATAAAGTATTCGTGTCTTTTCCCGCTAAAGCCGGAAGGACAAAATCACCTAGGAATCGGAAAGTGAAATAAAAGGGATGGAAATAGAGAGAATCAACAAGGGAAAACATAAAGCAACCAGGGAATATGAAACCCCAAAACGAACACACACAAACAGTGAAGAGAAAGCCCGCTAAATAAGAAGTTTATTTCCTAACCAGGAAAATCGAAAAAAGTAGAATGAAATTGGGAGAAAAGAAAGGTTAACTAAATACCTGCTCTGAGATACATCATAGATCTGGCCCTTGATAGCCATAAGCAAGGGCTTTTTAGGGTCGGATCCATCGTAGGCCTTGAGCTCCTCTTCTGTGATTTCACCAAGCTGAACAGGAGGAGGTAGAGGCTCCATCTGTTCATGGAAATCCCTTGACCTTGGAGGTTCCGAAGACCCAAAGAAGCCAGAAATGGCATAGTAGAAGGCTACAGCTAAAGCCAACACCGTGAAAAAGGTGGCGGGAGAGAGCCCTGTATACGCTGTAATCGCTTCTTTCAAAGTTGCCCAAAGCTGCAAAGCCATGCTTTTCAGCCAAAAATTAGCAAACGAGAAAGAAAAGAAGGAAACAAAAAATAGAGCAGCGGCTGCCGCAACAGGAAAACAAAAAGGCCGGAGAGACAAAAAAGAGAAGAGACTCCCTCGATATTCTCAATCTATCCCCACTTAAAAATCTCTGCAAGTCAGGAGTCAGCAAAAGCCTGAGTTCACATCGGCGCCCCACATCTCTGCAAGTCGGGAGATATCGGTAATATCTCTCGATGATTTCTTATCATCTTCTTCTTCCCTACTATAATCGGAAAACGTGGCGTTCGATGACAAATGAGATGTTCTCGGTACACGGTTGAGATTCCAATATATGGCGGGAATGTGCGGTGCTTTTTACGAGTTATTCGAGCTCGGCTCGACTCGGTTGCAGTCGAGCTCGAGTACAATACACTGATTCGATTATTAAATGAGTCGAACTCGAGCTTATTAGAATTCGGTTCGTGAGGTTTGCGAGTCGGTGCAAATATATATAATAAAATTATAGAAAATAATATATATAATAAAAATATTAGTAATTATTTTAATTTTTAATTTTTAAATGTAAAATAAAAAAATTATATATAATTTTTATTTTTATAAAGTACTTTTTTTAAATATTTTTATGATAAAATATTTATAAAATATAAAACGAGCTAAATCGAGCTAAACTCGAGCCTTGTAGAATAATTTCGAGCTAAGCCGAGAGCCTGATACTATTTGGCTCGGTTCGGCTCGAATCCATCCCTAGTAGTTGTGGGGGTTGATTTAAACTCCAATATTGCATGTGTTTAGTATACCTTCCTTTATTAAATAAAAGTTTGTATTTGATTTATGTTTAAAACCTAGAAAAGTATTTAATAAAATAATTAGGCACCATTAGGGATAAATCATTTATTGACAATTAGGCACCACATCTCTGAAGATGGTCCTCGAGTACCAGATCCAAGTTATCTAACTAGTGACATGCTTCTTATCTTCCTCTCATTTTTCATACATATAGTTATTTATTTTTAGTTAAACTATAAAAAATGTAAGCTAAAAAAAAAGCCCACTTAAGTCTTTTTTTTTTGTGTATGTGTGCAAGGTGCCAATCAGCTAGTTAGTAAGGTCTCTTGTTAGTCGTAGCAAAGACTTGGGGTCGAATTCCACCTACACCTAGATTAGGGGATGGGCTACCCCGGTTGTGTAGCCCTTCAAAAAGAAGTAAAAAAAAGTCTTAATTTTTTTTTAGTAAAATTCATCATTACTCTCTAATAAAATCAATTCTTTAACTCCCTCCCCATGAAGTTATAATAAGGTAGAGATAATTAATGTTGGGTTCTAATACTAGGTACCCTAAGGCTCCATTTGGTTTGTGGGAAGATTTGGGTGGGATGGGAAAAGATGGGATGGGATGAGAGTATAAAAATTTAACTTTTCAATGTTTGGTTTTACATGGGAAAATAGTAGGAAAATTATCCAAGACAAACAGAGATCTCAGAGGTTCAATCCGCCCTCATCATCGGTGAATGCCTACCATCGTCACCAATGGTGTTACCAGTAGCGGCAAATCTAGTAAAGGTAAAAGGGCAAAAGGTAGAAGACGAAACCAGCAATGGCAGATCTAGTAAAGGTAGAAGGGAAGAAGGTAAAAGACAAAACCAACAGCGGTAGATCTGTTACCGCCAGCGGTGATTACCAGCATATGCATGAGGGACGATGAAGACGAAACCAGCAGTGGCAGATATGTTACCAGCAGTGGCTAATCTGTTACCAGTAGCAGTGATTACCAGCATATGCATGAGGGAGGATGAAGACGATCTGTTACCAACAGTGGTGGCGATTACCAACAGCAGCGATGAGGATGAAGACAATCTCGAGTTTTCTCGAGTTTTTCCACCGAGTCGCACGATTTTGATGCGACCCCGAATCCTCGATTTTGGGATCTCGCATCCCACCTTTTTCTCACCCGATCCCCCTCTTTCCCTCAAAATAAATATGAGAAAAGGGAATATTTTTGGAATATTCCCTTTTTCTCTTCCCATCCCACAAAACAAAACTATCCCAAACCCTCACCAAAGTGCTCCTCACACACCAAAATTATTCTTCAAAAGAAGATATTGTTCATCACCTTCTTTCTCAAGAGCAATGGAACCAAGGAAGGAGGAATGGCAACAGGGCAGGGCGGGGATAGGGGGCCTCTCCCCATCCCCGTCCTCACAAAAATCCCCATCCTCGTCCCCGCTAACGGGGACAAGGTTATCCCCATCCCCATCCCCACGGGGATTCCTATTCCCACAGGGATCCCCATTCCCCGTGATTCTTTATAATGCTAAACATTTTGTTTTGTTTTTTTATTTTATTTAAAAAAATAAAAATAAAATAATTAACATTTACAATCGTATTAGAAAATATTCAACCATGTTTTTAAAAATATTAATATATAGATGCATGTTTACATATTTACATATATAACATATGCATACATATATACATATATATTAGTGGGGATCCCACAAAGCAGGGATCGGGGTCCCCGTGGAGTGAGGAATGCTCTCCTTGTCCCCGCCCCATCCCCGCTAACGGAGATGAAAATTTTCCCATCCCCATCCTTGCCCCATTTGAGGCGGATTCCAACATGGATCGGGAAAATGAAGAAAATTGCCATCCCTACAAGAAAATGCCTCTCGTTGTATTTTAACATGTTCTAAAAGTTTGAGCTTTAAAATAGACTTGGAGCCAAAGTACAAGTAATTGAAGCCGGTTAGAGTGTTCGAAAAAACATCAATTTGAGTGCTAGCCAACAAACTGAACCCAATCAGACATTAGAGGTCACATATGACTCTCAATTGGCAAAATTCAAACTCTATAGTTTGAAAATATGTGTGGCATAACAAATTTCTAAGACAACCTAAAAAATCCAAGACCAAAATCAACAAAAACCCACTCATTATACACCTCATAAACCAAAGTAGATTCAAAACAATCAAAGAAACAAAAACTCATCTTCTAACTCATTGTGAACTAACAATCCAATATAAATGGGAGAAAACAAATGCAATTCGATATGTTTTCACCACAGTTCCACTTGGTTTGAATCATCAAAGTTGCAAATGAGTCGGGCAGAGAAGAGGAGAGCACACATCTTGCAATCGTTGTCACATTATTCTCCTATATTCTCATCATTGAAATTTTTATTTATTAATAGCTATATAAGAAAGAATAAGCGAAGGATAGTTTGGTATTATTCACTATAACAGCTCATTATTGGTATTCGATTAAAATGATATTTTCAGAAATTTAGGCTCATTTTGGAAGGAGTACAAATACAAATATGTACAATACAAATACATATAAAATAATACAAAATACAAGATTTTACTCTCTACATATTTGTATTTGTACTCCTTCCAAATGAAGCCTTTGATACAGTTGTATGTTTCAAAGTTCAAGTACTAAAGTGAAACTAATCAAGTAATATTCTACAATTTACCCCAAAGAAAACTTTTCCAATCCATATAATTTATATTTTAAGTGGAAAGAATATATTTAGTGGAGAAAGAAAATGTAACAAACATTAGTTGTTGGAGATGAGGAGAGATAGAGAATTAAGAATGATCTTATTAATGAAAGTAAATGATGGATTTTATTAGAGAAATGAAGGCATAAAAGGGTTTGTTGTGACTTCTTAGATTTTTAATAATTTAATTTAAAAATAGATAACCACATGTGTGAAAAATGAGAGGAGGATGTCTATGTGGAATTTGGATTAGCTGAACGTGATGGCTGTTCATGGGCCCCACTGTAAAAGGTGTGGTCCCATGTATTTAAATATTGGCATGAAACCTTATTGTTGATTCCACAGCCTGCTGAACAGCCTTCGTGTTCAGCCAAACCTTATTCATCTATGTGAGCTGTGGTGAATGTGAGCTGTGGTGAAAGGACCCTTAAGGTTGGATTCAAGCTAGGTTCCATCCAATTTATACCCTTGTTTATTAAGAGAGCCAAAAGGGGTCATTTAGGAGGGGGGGGGGAGCAGTTTTAAGAATGGCTTAATTAGAGATCAATGAAAGATTTATTAGAGGAAATTAATACTTAGGAGATTTTTTTCTCGTAACTTCTTACACTTTTATAATCTATTTTATTGTAGCTTTTTTAGCCCCTTCTATTGTAACTTCTTATATTTTATTGTAACATCTTAGTTTACTCTCTCTCTCTCTTATTTTATCACTTAATGGAGCTACTCCTCCATTTCTAGGGATGTATTTATTTTTTGATTCTATCTTTTCTAGTTTTCCATTCACCCATTTTAACATTCATGTGTCTGAACACGTAAAAAAAAACTTTTCACTCTATTTATTTTAGTCTCTTATCACTATTCATTTTTCTTCCTTTATTACACCTAAATCAAAAAACCTTTTCATATGTTTATTGGAGTTGGGGAAAGTTTTGGGGGCAAAATCTATATGGTGTATGCAGCAAAAGCATGATTGATTGAATGAAATAGTAAATACACCTTGTTAAAAGTGAAATTACATTTTGTAAAAAGTGAACAAATGGAAAGTAAGTAGCCTATAGCATGATTGGTTGGGATCTAGATTTAATGTGCAACTAATATTAGTGAATGCATTATAATTGAACTTACATTTTAGATATCCTCAATAGAATTAGAGATGCTTTAAATAATTTTTCAAAATTTTGATTGAAGAAATAGTTTCTCAAATTCTTTCTTATATTTTATACCTTGTTGTTTTTTTGGGTAAATATTCTCTTGTGACATTTAAATCTACTATAAAGGTCCAAAATGTTGGTATTGCTTTTTCCTTAAAATCATAGCATGCCTTGCAAGATCCCATCACATTTTTTACATTAGTTGTTCAAAGTTTTAACTTTAAGATATAATAATCTCCTAAAATTAAGGTCTTATTGTGGATGCTAGGCATGTGTCTTTTATGAGTCCTATGGCTTGCATTATGACCTTGTTCGTTTTTCAAAAGGCCACTTACCTAGGTAAACATTTCTTGGGTAACAATTACCCTTGTTGTTTTGATTCCCAATTAAGTAATATAATGACTTTTTTGTCCATAAAAAATCAATATTAAAATGAATAAACTTGTCCCATTATGTTTTATAAATCTTTTTCCCAAGTGGAAAAATTACTTACCCACTTAAGGAACGGATAAGTTTTTTCCGAGTAAATGAAATTAACTTTACCACAGGGCCCAATACTTATAGGAAAAAGAACACTAAGTTGGTCAATGTATATTACATTTCCATTGACCAAATTTCCCCCTCTT